GCGTACTCGGGGATAAAGCACCACATATTGCAGAGAACGAGCTCGAGTTGCCTCGAGACACCCGCATGGCACTGGCACAGCTTAGGTCTGGATATTCTATCAGGTTGGACTCCTACCTATCCAGACGCCAACAAAACATACCCAACGTATGTCCAGCATGTGGAGAGTCGCCGTACGACAATAACCACCTCTTCACATGCCTACTTAAGCTGATACATCTAACCCCCTCCCTCTATCGCACGTTTCCTGGACCTCCCGTCAGATGACCTCGTTGACTTAGATTGATTTTACACCTGTCCCTAAGCAGGGTTAACGTAGCCGCTACTATAATAACAAAAACACAGCAGACGATGCAACCATGCGGAGATATACGATGACAGTAACATAGTTTAGCGATAAAGACCGAGACAGCTTTAAAAGCATTTGATGCAAGGCCCGTCGGTAGAAGCAGACTTCTAATCCGTTGGAAGGATCAGATTGAGAGCGAAGAGAAGAAACGAATAACGTTTCGATTCAGCTAAAATCGCGTAAGCGGTGCCCACACCAATGAAGAAGAAAAAAAAATAATATTAAACATTATCAAGTACGTCATTCATTGTGCTTCTCTAAGGCCGCATAACTGCACTAGAAACCAGTGCCGAAGTCAACTTTTCTGCGCGTTGAGCGTCGATTTATTTATTTGCAATTTTGTGGTGCAGTCGACAAATTAAAAACCACCAATTATATGTTCAGAAAAATTTACTAATAATTAAACAGTTTCAAAATATCGGAATTTCTAGAAATTTTTTTTATCGGACTGTTACAGGTAAATCTTTTTCCTGTTCTCCTTTATTTTAATCCGATTCGTAACCGCGAGCGAATATTTGGTTAATGATTTATTTTCTAGATCTAAAGCGACACTAATAAGGTCTGCTGAGCTTGCTCCTCCGCTCGTTTCATTCAAGTCATCATTAGGCAGACAGAAAAAGCACTCTTTCCATTAACTAAGTATCCTACGTACAGCCGTAACCAGCAAGACTACTCTTGCGGTATTCCTTATTGCACTAGGTTTTCACTCGGCTCAGTCACTATTTCAATAGATTTTATCTATAAGAAACGACTTTGCTGTATTCTCAACTTCTACAATGGGTTTCAACCTATAGCACACACGCCATACACACTTTCTTATGTCTTTCATTTAACTTTGCTCATATCGCTATATCACTCATACTTAAGTAAACTGGGCTTTTAAGATTAAACGAAAAATTAGTTTATTTTTAGTTCACCTGCTGCTCAAGTCAATTCAGCTGTTAAATGTAAAGTAAATGAGCCATTGCGGATGAACGTTCGTATGCTAAGTGTACATATTTGTAAAGGAGTATATCTGCGCTCCTTTATAGATATATATACCAGGTGTGCAAGTATGAAACCGGAATTTTTGTACAGAAAAAAAAACACGTTTATTATAATGATATAATACAAAGTAACTTATTCAAAGTATTATCTGTTGCTAGCTCTACATTTTTCCCCATCTTTCTGGCAATTTGTGGATTCCGCTCCAAAAGAACTGTTGCTCTTTCTGAAGCAAACCATTCTTCGAGCCATTTTCGTACATCTTCGTAAGAAGTAAGAAGCAAGCTCTGCTCAGCAACTCAGCAAGTGCGTGTCCCACCGATGCAAACAAGTAGTAATCGGATGGGAAAAGGTCCGGAGTGTAAGCCGCGCGCTGAGGAATCTCCCAACGGAATGACTCCATTGTTTCCTGTACCAGTTTTGCTTTGTGTGCTGGTGGATTGTCATGCAGCTAAATCACCATGTGTTGTTTTTGTTGGTATTTTGGTCGTTTTTTTATTCAAAACTCGATCCAACTCGGTCACTTTTCGTTGGTAGCGTTGAGTATTTAACTCGATCCAACTTGGTCACTTGTTGTTGGTAGCATTGAGTATTTAATAGTTTCTCGGGGTTTCAGCAGCTCGTAGTAGATTATGCCCTTCTAATCCCACCAAACACACAACATTGTTTTTCGTCTGTAGCGGTTTGGTCTTGCCGTCGATATTGGTGGTTCACCCGGAGTAACCCATGACTTGTTGCGCTTATGATTCTCGAAATTTATCCACTTTTCATCTCCAGTTGCAATTTGAAGGAGGAATGATTTTCTTTTGAACATAGCGAGATCCGCTGAAAACAGAAAAGTAGTGCTGTCCGCAAATCGTAGTTTTTTTTGGCACAAAACTCTACATGTTTACCTGTAGTAAAATAATAATACTGAATGAAACTCGTTCTATTGCGAGTTGGAAATCTTTTTCGAATATCAGTACAATAGCAAGGCACCGCTGACGTGATGTGTCGGTAACTGCATACCTATAACCTATAGGTTGCGCTAGATACCTATATTCAAATTTCGGTATGTATGTGTGTAAATGCGTGCGGCATACATAAAATACATATAATATAATACTCGTACATACCATGATTAGACATTATTTGAGTTCTCGCTCAGCTTTTAGTTCATATAATCATGAGATTTATTATCATTATGACAAAGAGTGATAATATTATTCCTCAATTAATTCAGCTTGTGTGAGTTTGAAAGGGGTATAAGTGTACAGTACTCTTACAAACCTTATTTTAGAGAGCTTACTAATTTCAGCTCAGGCTGCTACATTGTAACTGAGGTCCTTATTGCTTTCTCTATGTGAAATCACAGCATATGAAATAAACGAGATAATTAATTTTATATATAATAACAAACATATATATATTTATTTCGCCAAGAAATTTTTATTCCCCTGCACAGTGGTTCCCAAAGCCAAAAACTTGAAAAAATTCTTAAATGATTGATAAAATCGTTACTCGAGGTTTTTGAGATCGCTGAATATTAATCTGATATTATTTGAAATTTATTTTTCAGTATACAATAATACACACTATAAAATTACTGCTGCAGAAAGTATCCATTTTAAAAACAATGGGGCAAGTTGGCGCGAATTTTCTTTTTTTGAAAGGAAACATAAATGTACCCGGGATACGAGAAAAAATATTTCAGAGTGGGATGTCGTGGGGCTTTTGACTTATTCACTTTCTAATTTTTAGTTATTGAAATATTTAACTACTTAAGAGCAATATTACACATTTTTCATACACAAATTATCAACAAATTTCAATTTACGTTTTTAGTATACTTTCAATTAACTTAACTTTACCTGAGTCCGGTATGTCGCATCGAGTGTGCATTTCAAACGCAAGGAAGCGTCGTCTTCAAAACTGTCTCATTTTTCGAAATGATGCTAATCTATCGCACAAATCCTAAATTGTCTAAAATTTCGAGAAATTAGACAGTTTTAAAGACTGCGTTTCTTTGCGTTTGAAATGCACACTCGATGTAACACAACTGATGCTTGAACTAGAACTGCTTCTAACGGCACAGATGTGCACAGTAGACCCTCAAAAAGGGTTGTTTCTAATAGTCGACATACCAATCCAACTATTTCAGGTATTGAAAGTCCACAATTTAAACTTTTTCCCGGCTTTTGACCACGATTTTGGCTGTTGGAACCACTATGCGCTGTTGTTAAGACTGGATAGACTCAGAGGACTGTGACACTGTTCAACATATTAACTTTTTTTCTAAACCGTACCGAGTTATTATGTCCTATGCCAATGGAGAACTGATCTAGAAGAATTTTATATCTGCCGTAATCCTTATTACGTTCAACTATAGTCATATCTGTCTGAACCGTTTATTCACGTTCCATCTAATGTTTCTTTTCTTAGCGAATGTTAGTTTTAGTAAATGCTTTGTCGTGATTAGAAGTATACCTGAATCAAGCAATCTAAATCTGCTATGGATATAAAGAGAGGTGCGCATTTAAATAAATTTTTCAATATTCATCATTATCCCTAAGAGATCCTGCCTCAGACTGAGTAGGCAGAATTCTCTCTATGCGAACAAATACGCAGTTATCCCATTCGCTCTTCACTCCCACCTTGCTATTCGGTGCAGGAGTTTGTAACTAGAGCATACAGTCGGCGCGTAGAGTGATCGTAAGAAAGATTTTACGGAATATTAAATACCACATTTAGAAACTCGAAGACTGTCTTAATCAAGGAATTTAATTATGTCATTATATAAGTAAACAGGCCGATACGGTTTTGTAACCAGAAACAGGACTATACAATTTCGAAGGTTTTTGATGTGCTGAATCCGAATTCAAAGCAGTTCCAGCACGTCAAGTTTTTGAGATATTCCAACCTAAAAGTGCAAAAAACTAGTTTTTTTTTGCTACATGTGAGGTCATGCTACTTTGTTATTCTACCTGAAAGTATCACTTCTACTTTTTAAAAACCAATTTGAAATTTTAAAAAATCTTTTTTTTATGCCCCTGAGAAATTGTCTATTGAATTTACTGAGCTTTCCATATTCGGCAATATTCAGAAATTGAGTAGAAATCGAGGTGTATAGAACCCAAGGTTACGACAAGAGCGAAATCATATGCTTAATGGTGTTCAATTTGTGGCTTGCCGAAGGATTTAAAATATTTCTTCATAATTTTATTTATAAAACAGTATAACATTTTGACTATAAAATTCTAAAGCCTTGGATTAAATTTTTTTAGAATAGTTTTATGTCGGACAAATGTATTTTAATTTCTAAAAAAAAAAAATTATTTTTGGAAAATTTTCTATACCTAGCAACTCTAACTTTCATGTCATGTAATACGAATGGCATGAGAAGATAATGTCAAATACGTTTCAAATTGTCAAAATTCCAAACGAACGCGCATTGCAGAGAATGTATTTACATTCTCTGCGCATTGTTATTAAGTATTTAATATAAAAAAGAGATTTTCGCATATTATCTTTATCTGCTAAAAAGTTTCTGGGAAATGGGTGATGTTTATCATGTGGGAAATCATGTTTATAAATTCGCAGCGGTGAAAAAGTGTGCAATGCGTTATTCTTGACAAAAAATTATTAATATTATATTATATTATATTAATATTTTCAGAAAAATTAAAACTACGATATTATAGCAGATTCGTCAATCATTTTATGAATTTGGTAATATAAGTTTTTAAGCTGAAAACTTGAAATTTCTATTTTAAAAAAATTGGATAGGAAAATATGAATATAATAATATTTTATTTCTTTTTCTGGTACTTAGGTGTTAAGGCCACTGCGGTGACGTATCCGGTTGTCGTAACCCTGTAATTTATAAACCTTGAACTATACAAGACTTTGAAAATAGTGAAGAAAATAAGTAGCAATATTTGAGTTTAGAGTATTCATGAGAGTTTTGGTGTTGCGGACATAAAATCCGATCACAATTTTTAAGCATTTAAAATGGCGGATCCACAAATTGTTTGGATTTGCCCAAAACTTATTCCTTGGGGATTTTTGTGGTTGCTGATTACGATCGGAAAAATACAGTCCTGTTCTTGGTTACAGAATTTAGTCAAATTTCGTCGTTTAAGTTTAAATTATAATGGTAGAGGGATTTATTAGTTTTTCTTATAATTCAACGGTAATTTATGAGCAGCTTTTATTTTATACACTCAGAGGGCTTGACATTCCCTGCTCAGGGGACGACCGCAATTAGAAAAATGTATTTTCTATAATTTTGGATGTTGGTCGAAGCATAACTAGAGAACACTGTCCTTCAAAATGGCAGTACGCAATTATTTCTGATGTTTTCTCTGAATCACGCATTAACTTTATGATTTGGCGTTTTTATAACTCTCTTCTATTTATCTTTACACATTTAATTTTTCATCACGAGGCCAAATTAATTTCGAAATTTTTTTTTATGAATTAATGGGACGAAATCTCATTACCATAGATGAAAAACATGCCCTGCATCTTAAAACTAATCACTAAGCATTTTAAACTTTCTAAGAGAAAGTCTTGAAATTGAGATTATGATAACGCCATTTGTCTTTACGACTTTTACTAAAATGTACTGCAAATTAATGCGTTCAAAATCTACTCCTCATCTGCTTGAGTCAAATATGCAAAAACTCTGTTTTTATTTGAATTCAGGTGATACAAGTTTTCAAGTTACATACACGTATATATATCATCATTTTACTATCAAGAGGCTCCAGAAGTCATGCTTGACATTAGGATGCAACACTAAATTTCCGACAAGACTTTCGTGATCAGAAGTTGTTTCATCGTTAAGGGTAAACGAATTCTGGAAATTAGCTTGACATTTCCGGTGTGATGTGGAGTTGAGTTTTCTGCTCTTCAAGAATTTGTACAAAAATTCCGCATCCCGTGGCGATACACCCAATTTAGCCAAAATCTAATTCATTTCGATTTGTGTGGGCGGTTGTCGTGCGTCATTTTGAACGTTGGGTTCCCAATCAAAATTAACCAATTGCTTGTTTTAGTCCAAGCAGTAAATTTTTCCTTGGAGGAATTTTCTAGAGTCAGAGACTTGGGTAGATCGACAACAGGAGGGCGGTTTTCTGCAGCTATGGAGGTTTCATATTTTTTTCAATCTAATAGCAGAGTTGAAGCATGCATAATATCTACTTTCATCATGTCCTAGTCGGTCTTCCAACAACATTACTGACTTCACATAGCTCAACTAGGCTTTATTTCTTTTTTAAAGCGTGCTCAGCATATAGTTTTTATCAGTTAAATCGGGTTCATCGAAATAAAGACGAAATACTATTTTGAATTTCTCAGTGAACATGTTTCTTCCATCCAGATTTCCTCTTTTCGGCACTATATATGACCACGAAGAGAGGAAAAACTGTCGAGTTTTGGCTACTTTGTACTTTGCATATTGAAATTTTGAATGTTTTTCTGCTTTTTCAAATGCTTTTTACACGGAATTACTGTTGGCTTGCAGGTTTTTTGTAACCTTTAATTGATGCCATATTAATATATTCTTTATGCATATAAATGAATATAAGTTATTTTAAAATGAGTTTTAAATTCAACGATCCAAAATTCTTTGTCTATTCGCAAACTACAAGCAAAATTAATGTTTAAAACTAAAAACTTCTGATTTGATTTAACATAGAAAACTTAGCAACGCAGCTGTGCTTTTTATTTACTTTATAGTTAGTAGTATGTACTCACATATAGATATATGCAAAAAACAAAGAGGTAAAATTCGCAAAAAGTTCTAAAATAATGCATTAACTATTCTTGCACATAATTCATAGGCAATAAAATAGAACGATATTTCCTGTAAAATTCTATTTACTTCCTATACAAAGGATGCACTTAGAATCTATTATGTATGCCAGTTTACATGTACATTCTACATATAATACATACATACACTTTGCTCTATTAAATTTTAATGGATCACAATTCAACTCAAGTGCTCACTCATACGTAGTACCGCGCCTCTGCGTTTTTGTTGCCCTCATATGCCGTTACCTAAATCCTTCACTCTGGTGCTTGTTCTCACTTAGGTGTGCTCATTTCGACGTCTTCATTATGCATTCTTGAACTGAAATGAAGTCCTTTTGTATCTGTTATCACTTTTCCCCGCTACTCTGGCTAATATGTACAGTTAATAGACAATTCATGTTGCACAAATGGAAACTTTAAGAACTGAAATAACGGCAAACTGGCAACAAGTGAATAGACGAAATACAAAAATTTACTATTTCGTTTAGTATTGCCGGCAGCGAATAGCAGCTAAAAATATACATATACAATACATACATAGCAATTGCTGCTGACCCATTCGGTGTGCAAATACACTTTCGACACCACCGCCACCCCCACCGCAAGGAAACTGGAGATTGTATTGGCGGCATCATGGGCGTTTATGCAGCTGCTTGACTCTTGAATATAACTCATTAATATTTGGCAAAATAACACAACTCGACAGCAGGCAGCTGGGTGGTAGCCTGAGGCTAACTGTTTGGCAGAAGCTTTGCTTTGTCACTATCTGAATGCTGTGTTTTTGTTATTGTAGTTCGTGTACATTGTATTGCTTTTTAATTAATTGTTGGCAAAATTGTTTTCTCCAAAATGAATAAAGAGGGTATAAACAGTCCAAACACGTTTCCTTCCGATGTGGCCGCGCCAGTTCGATGAATGGGATATTGACAATGTGAATATTCACAATATTGCTACTGTAGAGTCCTTAGTCTAAAACTAAATTAAATGGCTTAATTTATAGTCTTGCGTTTATTGGTTCAGTGCACAAATGAGTTTTGTCTTTAAAACTTCCTACTAGTAACAGCTCAATTGCGTTTATTTTTCAAAAGCAATCATGAAAAAGTTTGCCTAATTTTCTTTGGTAAAGTAAACTAGCAGTCGGCAGCAATGACTGCACTTCGCCTATGAAAGTCAAACCAATGAACCACTCAGCCATGAGACACTCGATAATATTGGATAAAGACGATTTAATACAGATCGATGCGGTCCAATTGTACTAACTGATAAGTACTTCAGAACAAAACAGCGGGAAAGGATGGTAAGATAATTACCACACTACAGGTGATAGCCTGGATACATACACAGACGGCAGAGGTGTATTTTTAGGAAACCCGATGCAACACTCTTTCAGGCTACCTGACTATTGCAAGGTTTCCCAGGTGGAAATATCTGATGTCATGGAGGGTGCAAAACCCGTCAAGAGCCTGTTTTAAAGATAAGGATATCTGCATTTTCAGTGACACTTAGGCAGCAATTGGGTCGAATTCCAAATTAGTGCTGGGCTGTCGCCGATCTCTGCAAAAGATGGCCAAACAGAACAGGCTTTCTCTTCCGTGGGCCATTGAGAAGATTTGTCATTGGTATGCCTTTTGCCACTAGAAAAATATATCTTAGGGAGTTTCAATTTGAACCAACTACGTCAAGATGGAATGATACAACGACCTGCCGAAAATACAGCCACACCTGGTCGAAATAGGATAAAAAGAGATCAAGAAGAGGGCACATATCCAAAGAAATAGTAGTTCAGAAAAGCTAAGGAGGTTAAGGAGGAGGAAACGATTACCCATCTCGTATGCGACTGCTCTGCTATGGGCAGGGCTAGTTTTCTGAATTTTGGGGTCTATTCAAGATACACAATGCCAATGTCATGGATCTAATGTGTTTCATCGGAGATTGAAAATGGCTGGATAACGAAGCATGGTATTCAAGTTTTTATGGCATTACAACGGACCTTAGTGAGGTCTCAGTGAATTTGACACGATGGATGGGTAGCCACCGCAACCTAACCTCATATTGTACTAATCTAGAGTAATTGAATTTTGAAATTTATGCGGCACGCTCTCTAAGATTATGCCGGTGTGTTTGTTAATACATATGAATATGTATCTAAAAGAAATAGTCTCTAAAAGCCAGTAAAAAAGGAAGAAAATCATTCTTTTTCAAATAATTGCTATATTGAAAATGAGTAAAAAATCTACTTTTTTTAATTCAATAAATTTTCCAGCGGTATGGTTTGATCGTACGCACCAAAAATTTCAGGATCGTCTCCGATCGGGGTATCCGTATAGAAAAAAAAAAAACCAGCAGCAAACTCTCTGACCCACGTGGTCTCATTCCTTAAAACAGCGAATGAATATACCTCGACCACAAGTGCCGAGTGGTTTGCATTGCGTAATGCCATTTGGAAGGCCAGGGTTCGAGTCCTGGTCCAATTAACATCCAATATTAATTTAAATAATAATATATATTAAATTTTTAACTGCGGACGCCCTTCGTCTGGGAACTTCAATCCCTCCGAGTGTATTTCTGACATAAAATGAAGGCTCCTCATAAAAAAAACCACCAGAAGTTTGGAGGCGGCTTAGTATAAAATTTAGGTCCCTCTATTTGTTGGAAATTCGTCAATAGGCATACCACATTAGAGCAGAAGGTCGGCCAAAAATTACATCAGCGGTTTAAGAGCGCCAATTGTTTATATACTTGAGTAGGTAATGTTCTTGGCTCAAATTTAAATACGTTAATTCATGTGTTTTATGCATTCATTTTAATTAAGCTTTTCAAATCACTGACTTATACGCAGTCACATACATGTCTGCAAAATCAGTTAAATGTTAAATTTAAATTATTCAAACATCTCAAAACCAAAAGGACTAATTTACGCTGAAAGCTGCGTACGGACTGACTGGCATGGCTATATCAACTCAGCTCAGGTGACTACGTCCTACTCATTACATCAGCAAAGAAGAATATGAAATAAATATCATCCTATTTTACAGACAATCCTTCCTCGACTGAAAATATAAAAATCTCATCACGGCAAATACTGTGGATTTGGCAAAACGCAATCATATTCTAAATTAGCCCAGTACATTCAATAGAACTTGTAAATTTAAGGATAAAACCGCAATAAAATGAAATGAAAAGAATATCTTCAAATCGACCAACAGTTCTTTTTCTACTTAAGACCAGAGAGTTTCCGGAAATTATAATGACTTCATATATGTGTATGTAAACATCATCTTATCCTTATTTACCTAATTACTATAAATTAAAAGCAACACTGATCGTGGTGAAAATAGATCATTCAAATAATGAGAGACTAGACGTATACTAAGAACAATAAGAATAAAGAACCACCTACGGTTTCGGACGTGCTAATAGTTAAAATAGCCAATGTGAAATAAAGTTACTTAATATGAAATAAATTTAGTTAGGTTAATAAAAGTGAGTTTCATTTTAAGTTTCGGAAAGAAAGGCTCCCACATTCATGATGAACAAAACCGCGTATATCGGAAAAAAAAACAATTTACGGAAACTTTCTGGTCTTAATGCTGAGAGTCAGTAGAAATTGTTTTGCAGTATGAAATAACTCTAGAAAAAATTTTTCTTTTTTTGCTTCACCCGACTTCCATTTTTTTCATTTTAAAAAACAGTCATATGCTTCCACATCCGTAAGCCCTCCAATTCAGTTACATTTGTTTACAGCCGAATAACACTACCAGCGAGTGCAATTATAAATAATCATTTAGTTTAAATTAGTTCTAATTGCCACCAGGTGTTCTCGTTACCCCAATAGGAAGAAATATTTGTTTCATATAAAAACCACAAAATATTTCATATCGCAAATCTGACGCAAAGTTGAGTAAGAAATAAACGGCACAGTTCAATCGCAGATAATGGATTACGTTTCCACAAATTTTACCGGAGGAATAATGGCAGAATTGTCTTTAAATGGCCGGCGATCAAAAGTGAATTTGTTTAGAAATATTGTGAGACCTAAAAACCTTGCGAATACATATAAAATTAAATTCTAATAAATTTACTTCATGAGAATATGAAATTATGTGCACAAATTATGATGCAAAGTTTTTAGTATCTCTAAAGGTCCCGGATTGCAGGCTGGTGATGAGACTAATTAAAGCATATGTTACAGGGCTGACTAGGGACAACAAGTGCAGGAAATGTAAAGAACGTGTAGAGACAGTGGAGCACGTAATCTGTAAGTGTCCAGCATTCGGTAGGCAAAGGCTATACCTACTTGGCGCAGAGTGGCTACAGGATTGGCAATTGTTAAGCGGCCAACAACAATTTTCTTCACACTAGAGACACAATAGGAATGTAGCAACGCAATTTGGTCTCATGTAGTATGTTTGGCAACACTATGGATGCCTTAGAGTCTATGTGAGATCCAAAGTTAAACCTAACCTAACCTAACTTAACCTCAATTCTCTGTCTTTGAATCAACTTTAGAAGGATATTAAATAAAGATAGTTCAAATCTTATTCTGAATCAGTAGAAGGCGGTATGGCAGTAGCCGATTTGATTTGCGGCACAAAAACCAGCATCATAAACGGTTTGCAACATTTATGGGTACATCCCTTCTATTTTCTTAATATGTTTTCTAATAGAATGCATTCGTCAAGTACACAATAATCCCACACAACAATACAACAAGCAACCGAACCATAAATACGACATTACCGAGTTGATCGGTGTCAGGTACATTACTCGGAAAGAAAAGAATTTTAAGAAAATTGAACATAAAAAAGATTTTTAGATTTCTTTTCTGCGTGTTAAACTGAACAATCCATTGAATTTCAATTAAAGCGAACCATAATCACGATTTTTTTCCTCAAGAGAAAAGTTAAATTTCTGCCAAACTATCCAAAGATCTCCCTATGTACCAAATTTCAAGTAAATCGTGTAAAAAATACGTTTTTTCGTCAGTCCTTGGTTCACTTAGCAGTGTGAAAAATGGTTCTTGGTCTCATGCCCGCCCGATATGCACTCAAAATTTCATAAAAATCGGTCCAGCTGTTTCGGAAGAGTTTCGTTACAAACACCGTGATAGGATAATTCTATACAGTGGATTGAATAAAATACGCATGGAAGCAAATTATAAGAAATATGTACTAAAGTACAAAAACAACTATATTTACTCACCTTAAATTTACAATGCAAAGCTAATATGTCGCTGTTGGGTTAAAGCATATCATTTTTTTGTTTTTGTTTTGGCAATCGGGTGTATTGTGCGCGCTTCTAATTTATTGATTAATACATTAAATTTTACGTTGATTATATTTATATTTATAAATCTATATGTATTAATTTTACATTATATATAAATAGTTAATTTGCTTTAATTTGCTTGTATCATTTACTAACTTGAGTTTAAAAATATTGCACATGATGAACTCTGCTTTTAAATTTTTTTACTATAATAAACATATACACATGGATATATGTACATACATACATGCATATACACGCTATTTTTACACAATATCATTCATGAGTGCACACAACTCTCATCATTTAACATTTCCCTTTAGTGAACATAAACTTCACAATTCAAAAAATTTCCCGGACCGCATATATGTAAATTCAACGACATGAAACATAAAAACTTCGTGAGTAGAGACTGTAAGCATCCAAAGGTTATATTTATTATAAAAAATGTGTGTGTATATAAATTATGCACACCAGTTACATTTGTTGTTGTTGTACACAAACACACAGTTGGCAATGAAATGTGTTACCTTAGCATAAGTTTAGGCGCTAAAGCACAGACATTCGTGTTGGCTATGGCTCTAAACTTTGACACTGGCACTGGCATAACGGAACTCAAACCATAAGACAAGCCGAGCTACTGCATGTACGTGCGCAACTTTAGCCATGAGTAGCAATCACATTATGCGTTATGAACAGAATTTGTTGGTTATTTTTAATTATTAACGCGAAGGCATTTCACATACAGCATCAGTATTCCATTAAATTCTCCAAATAAATTATATACTTGTATACTGCATATATATAGCTATATGTATAAGGGATATTAACACTGTTTTATGTATGTATGTTCACATGTGTTTATGACGTTTACATATTTAATTCTCTAGGTATTACTTAATTTTTTTTTTTTGTATTTTATTACACAAAATCCGTTCTTCCCCTTGACTTTGACACCGCTAGTCCTAGTTATTGTTTCAACAGCGAACAACCGACTGGACTTCTGGCCAACTCCAAACTGAGTCGAGTGCATTGAGATCCTTGCGTTTTATACGAGAACGGCGTTACTTTTCGCATGCCGCTATTGATGCCGTTGTAATTTTGTCGTTGCTACTACGGTTATTAGCGTTTGTTTGTTTTTGCCCTATCACTCACGTTGTTGCTTCCTTGCGTAAGCATAATGTTTATTTTGGTTTTATTTTGTTTTTCTGCTTTAAATTACATGCGTTCGTTGGAGCTTTTTCTCTTACAACAAATGTTTGTTATTATTTTTTGTTACATGCAACAGCAACAAGCGATGATGATAAGCTTGTAGTAGCTTCGTTGAGGGTTGCCAATTAGGTCGAAGTTTGTAGTAATTTTATGAACATTGGCATTCGGTTGAGTTGAAAAATCATCTGATTTCTATATGGTCTGATGTTTTTTTTTAAAGCATAGACTTTTTAACACAATATTTTACTTTAAGCCATCGCAGCTAAGTCCATGCTACAGTATGTATGGGATATGTAGTAGATAAAAATGCGTACTACGATTGATGGTACGAATAATTATAAGACATATAACTTTAAAAATTATTTTTTATTATTTCGTTCGCTTTTTCGAAGGAAATGTCAACTCTTCCGAGTGTTTTTTTTTCAGATGAGCTCAAAGTTCTTCATAAAGATCAATCGGCCGCATATACATGCATACTCGTATGTACAATATTTTTTGGAAAATATACGTTTATATATATATTATATTTATACAATGTAATAGCTCTTCCAATAAGAGATGATATTTTGATATTCAAAGATATTTTGACCTTAAAAAATTGATGGTTTAGTTGATTGTATAGCACGTACTGCTGTCTTGTTGAAAATAAACGTTTTCCAGATCAATACCTTTAAATTACGGTCATAAAAAATGTTTAATTATTTCTCGTTGGCGATCCCGTTGGACCTTTAACCGCACCAAACAGTTGAAAACGGAAATGCTTTTCAATAATAAATCTTAGGTTTTCCGAGCTCCAGTTGCGACATTTTTTCATATTGACGCGTAGCCATCGAGGTGTAAATTTTAACAGGTCAACATTCAGGAGAGTCTTCTTATTGTAATCATTAACTGTATGAGATGGGGTTTGTACATTTTGGACTTTTGTGGGTTTTTTTAATTAAATTACTTTTCTTTTTGTGGTTGATTTTTCAAAACTTTTTGCTGAAGGAGCCATTAAATTAAACTAAATGCCGCTTTCCTTTTTAAATGTGTTGATTTTTTTTACCAATCATCTGGTGAAAATATGATTAAAACATTCAATCATTGCTGGAGCATACTGATTCAGTTATTGAAACTACTTGAATTAGAGTGTGAAATTAATTGAAATGGATTCCTAAATAAATTACTTAAATGTAATTGCCGAAAAATTGTCGTATGCAGATATATATATATTTATAATATATAACTCAAAATCCTTAGATCTGATTATAATTAAATATTTTTTTAACTTGGCAGCTCTTAAATTGTATGATTCAATTCAAAAGGAATAAAGTTTACTACAAATCAAAGCTTTTTTAGTACAACGAGAATGCAACGCTAAAAGCTCTTCTCCCATTTATATATGTATGTATCAAATAGAGAACAGAGAAAAACATTTTGGCGCGAAAACGTAATCAAATCGCTTTGTTGTTGCATGTAAACCGAATTAGTTAGTAAAGTTGATACTCATCAAGAGCATAGCATTCGCACGTGCACACACGCACACACACAGATGCATATATAAAAAGTTTTACTTAATGCTAACACGTACATAATACTAACGTTTGTTTGAAAACTCACATGTCGATTCAGATCCTGTGAAAGTGTGTGTTATATAAATTGATAGTTCTTCACATGAAAGCTGTCATTAAGCTGACCA